CTTCCCCGGCCGGGCTGGTAGGGCTGCGTTAAAGCCGAGCGCCGCGGGGGTTCGGGCTGGTGCTTGTGCTCGTCCTCGTCCCTGGGCATCCCCGCTCACCCTTTCGGTGAAGCTCTCGGGAGTGTTTGGTGCGGCGCCTGGTGGGTGCTGCACTTGCGGTTCTCGAAGCACTACACTATGTGTCCTGCTCGGCTAGAAATCTTCGTAAGAGACCATAGCTATTCACGCCCAAACTTTACCTTGTGTTTTTTTAAATAACATTTAAAATCGTGCAGGTAAGAGGAAGCATTCTCACCACTAAGAAAAAAATGAAAAGAATTTTCTTTAGGTCTTTAAACCCAAACCTGGTAATGGTATATGAATCTTGGCTCACTATTTCTGTAGTTGAAATAAAGGCTCAACAAGGGCATATCAAAAACCAGGCTGAGCTGTTGCTGTTGAACTTTCCATAGGTCTGTCAGTCAAAGGTGGTATTAGTTGGACATCTGCTTTACAACGTGCTTGCTTGACCGAGGCACTGATTTTTGAATATACAGAACGCATTCAGCCTGTTGAAACTTGGTCTCAGGACCTTAAATTAAGAGCCCTGGAAAAGTTTATTGTATGTCCTTTAGAAATGGTAGGGTGAGGCTGCTTCATCATCCCCCCCCTCCCCCTTTTAGTGTTCTGTGTAGGTCAAAAGTTAATTACAAGTGTCTTTGTCAAATGTGGGAAGCAGTTTTCCCAGGCCTAGGTATTCTGCTCCTTGCTGCTTTGCTTTAAAGCAGTTTCCCAAGGAGGATTTAAGCAGCCTTGTTACAGAAGGGGTATGTGCTATGCAGTATGTTTCGAGACAATGTCTGAATCTTGTTCCCGTAACAACGGATTCAAACTGGAGTTTTCTCATTTGCTCTATGTTGAACAAAATGAGCATCGTGGTGAGCTTAAGTTTTGTCCCCACGTTCCTTGGTGCTAAAATTTGCTGATCTATGTAAAACAATTTATTGTGAAGAGGTAGGTTAGTTTGTTGGATATACTGGTGTATCAAACTGACTGTGTTAGTGTTTCTAGAAAAAAAAAGTTAAGTGACTTACCAGCTATTGTACGTGTCTTGGAAGAGGCCAGGCTTAAATTTCACCAAAAAAAAGAAAAGGCAACTAATACTGTTCTGTGAACAATGGTAGTTTTTGTTGGACTTGTTCATTCTCCTTCTCTCTCTCCCCCCCCCCCTTCTAAATAGGGCAAAAGTATTTGTCGCTGACTGCTTTATTTCTTTCCAGGTGCTAGTGAACACTGCCTGCTGTTTCCTGATGTTGGTTGCTAAGCTAATCCAGTGTATGGTGTTCGGTCCTCTTCGTGTCAGTGAGAGGCAGGTGAGACAGCAATGCGTTGCCGTGGATATTGTTGTGTTTCGTAATTTCGTGGTATACGACTGGTGTGGTTTTCTATATGGAATTGCTGAAAGTACAGAAGAAAAGTAAATTTTAGAACAACATAAACTTAAATCTTACCATTTGGTTAGCTAGTATATCCACAGCCACAAGCTTCCAGTTTATTTCTGAAGGGAACTTTTCTTTTTCACTGTTCCTATTGTATTTTATAAACCCGTGGTCAACTTGAAAGTCCTGCTTCCTTAATGAACTTCGTCAGATTTCTTACAAGTGCACCTCATTTCAGAATACTTACGACATGTTCTTCTCTATTCAGTTGGTGCTTGGCAGCATTTCTCCATTGCGTTTCGTAGTTAGTTATCAGCACTGGCAGTCTGAGTTCCCTCTTGTACCTTGTTTTGTGCCTTGACTGCTGGAGAAGTGCTTTCCATCCTCATACGCTGAGTGGATGGTTTATCTACCCTCAGGTTTAAGAGGGAGTCAGCACGTGTATGCCCAGAGAAAGGAGGTGAGCAGGGCTGAAAACTCAGGCTGTTTAGTCCTGCTCTTGGGCTAGGTGAGAATGTTTTTAAAAATTCAGCAAGGGAACCATTAAAGCCCAGGCGTTTTAAAAACAGGATCCTGCAGAAGATAAAAGCAGCAGCAGTAGTTTGAATAGTACCTGTATATTTTTTTTAAAAAAGAAAGGCGAATGCATAAGTTGCTCTGTGTAAATGCAGTAGCAGTGGTTTGAAGTATGTTCGCATATTTAAGAAAAAAAAGTGTGTAAATGCAGTTCTTCAGGAGAAATCAGGCCATGATGATTTTTGACATGCAGAACTGAGGCACATAAAGCTTCATTAATAACCGTGGATCTCTCAAAGCCTGTTTTATTTGTGATTCACACTACGTACAGCCTCCAAGTGAAGCGTATTAAAAACAAGGCACTATCAAACTGCATTGGGCAGTTTTTCTTTCCAGTCCGTGTTGACTATAAGGATGTGGAATTTTAACCAGTGATAATTTCCAGGATGTTCTCTATCCTCTTAAAAACTGGAGTGAAAAGCAGTAACAATGTGGATCCATTTGTGTTTGGACAGTGGGAGTGCGCTTCAGTTCTCATGTAAAGGAAAGCTGGTTATTAATATTGGCGAGCCAAAAATGGCAGCATCATGAAGGAATTCTGGGCCTGTCTTAACTAAACTCCTGGTGATTTCATCGTGTTCTTTAACGAAACATTTTCTTTCATAAATTTTTTTATCCCCAACAAGCTGGCTTGCTATCTGCTGCTTGAGACCATCATATTGTTTCTTTCATACTGCATGTGCGTGGGAATAATTTGTTTTTCATTGCTCATCCACCTCATTCTCCACTGTAGGCATTGTGCTTTTTAAGAGCAGATTTTGTCATCTTTTCTTAATCATCTGTACTTTTGGACAGGTTTTTGGAAGCAAGGTGCTAGGTTATTTGGGCATCTTGTATAACTAACCGTGGCAGTTCTTCTAGCAAAGAGGGCTTTGTGTTTGCGGCCCAGTAGCTGCATGGAGAATCAAACGGAGATCAAACTTGGTTTGTGCTAAACACTGTTTTAGAAGTATGGCAGGAAACTACGTTGTGCGCTGCATTGCACAGTTATGCTGCAGTGGTATAAGAGACTAGATAAGATATGAAGGAGCGCTAATATTTCTAATATGTTTTTAATTCAGTAAGGGTTACAAATACTATTCGAAGTGTGTATGCAGCAGGCTTTTGCTAACATATTGTCGCATTTCTACTCCCGTCTTTTTTTTTTTCTTTCTCTTTTTCCCCTCCTTCTCTCCCCTGCATGTGGATTGTCACTACAGTAACCAGATGTCTTCCTTTACAGCATCTCAAGGATAAATTCTGGAATTTCATTTTCTACAAGTTCATCTTCATTTTTGGTGTGCTGAATGTTCAGACGGTGGAAGAAGTGGTGATGTGGTGCCTCTGGTTCTCTGGACTTGTATTTCTTCATCTTATGGTTCAGCTCTGCAAGGATCGCTTTGAATATGTGAGTTTTGATTAAGGGCTGTCTTTTGGGACATGCAAATTCTGTTTCTGGTTTGGGCACTGGCTCGTGATGGGTTACAAACAGATCATTTAGACCTTTTCCCCACCCTGCGGTGCTGAACACGTGTACCTCTCAGTAGCTTCGAATACTTGTTTTAAAGTGCAATGTCAATCTTACTCCTTCAGTTTTCCCATGAGACAAATGGAGCTGAAGATACTTATTTGCTTTGATAAATTGCTCCTTATGTGTCCCCTGTAATTACTATTACATAACTCCATGAGCTGTCTTCATAGCTCTCCTTACTGAAGAAATCCTGACAACGGAACATCCCTTAGGTTGGTGCCCTTTAGGATTGGTCCATGAAGCCTCTTTCTGCGGATTCTGTGCTCGGGTATCAAGCTCATTTACATCTACCAAATGTTGACTGCCAATGTCTTTGCAATATACAGTGCAACTTTCTCCATAAGCAACATCCCACTTTCTGTTAATACCAAGAATAAATTCAGTAGAGATGCAGAAATTAAAGGCCCGGCAAGGAAGAAGGAACTGGAATTTGAACAGTAAATCTTGTCCTTTAAACATCTATAGTGGACATGCATTTTCCTCAGCTCCTCTGTCCTGGAATAAAAGTTTGAACTAAATTGAATCCATGAATTTCCTTTTGGTAGCTCTGTGCTTTGCCATTTTTTTTTACTAATATTCTGTAAAGCCTGTTAATTCACAAGTAGCTAAGCACTAAGCTTGAAACTAGATTGGTTGGGGTTAGGAAAATTGAGACAGAAGTGAACGAGGCGGTCATCTGGTATTTTTAGTGTTGTTCAGAAAGCTGTGAAAGAACAAAGCTCATGTGGGAAGAAATCCTTATTATATTCCTTCTGCATTCAAAGCATGTATCATAATTCTTTACTTGAACAAATGGTACTTGTGTGATCTGCCTTGCAAACTCAGGAGGATGTGGAACTGAACCAGATATAAACAAGGAAGAAAGAATCAATTTAAAAACAAAATATGGGAGTCAACTTCATCGATCAGACCAGAGTGAAGCTTTGGGCAACTCCTTCTTTCCTTGTCCTGTTCTTCCCCTTCCTGCCCTGAAAATAAGGGGATGGACCACCTAAATACTCTTTGATTTAGACAGCCTAGGTGTAGCCTACCGTTAAGGTAGTTTAAAGAATTAATATGCTATGCATGCTATTGAATGAGACAACTATTTTCAATAGACTCTGTCCAGCAGTCTCTAGCTGCAAGTTAAATTTTTGGGGGAGATGTCTCTCTCTTTCAGAGGAAAAGGACATTGGAAGAACTAGAGGCTGGAAGATAAAGCTGGACAAACTCAGATTAGCTGTAAGGTGAAAAATTGGCAGAACAATTATTCTCATTGCTCAAAGACTGTATATTAAGGTTAGGGTTCTAAAATGCATGAGCATCCTAAGCAGATGCTGTGGATTTGATGCAGAAACCACCGTGTGAGAAAGTGTCTGTGGTTTTCTTGCACAGGTGATCTAAACATCAGATCAAATAATCGTAATGATTCCTTCTGGCTTTAGAAGCCCGGTGAATGCAAATGATGGCGAGATGAATGAGACTTGGGATGGTGTGTGGGTTTAGCTTTATTCTGCAACATTAATTACTGCATTGCGTGGTTGAGGTCATGAAATTGGTTTTATTCTAGAAAGCAAAAGATTTTCCTGAATTAGGACTTTTTTGGTGAGGTGACTATGGAAGGCAGGGTGGATGAAGTACTCCTTTAAACCTCTTACGTATTTATGTATTTGTGTTGCAGCTTTCCTTTTCTCCTACCACACCCATGAGCAGCCACGTCAGAGTCCTGACCCTGCTCATAGCCATGCTCCTGTCCTGCTGTGGATTAGCAGTTGTCTGTGGTATTATTGGCTACACCCATGGCATGCACACGTTGGCTTTCATGGCAGCAGAGGTGAGACTTTCTTCATACGTGTCATGGTTTCTGCTTTGCTTTTCACCCCTCACTTGGGGGTATCTTGGCACGCGATGGGTTTTCTTTTAGTTTCCCGTGAGGAAGAAACTCCAAAGATGCAAACAAGCCCTCCCCTCTTTTAGAGTAGTTGCCAGATCTGCATGCTTCCTCTCTTTAGAGTTTAAGCCTGCAAAAATATCTTTGTCTGAAGAAGAGAATGAGAGCATAAATCCGTAAGATGATGCTGAAATCAAGTAGCAGCCCATGAAAAAATAATGGTTGTGCTTCATGAGCATTGCAAGAAGGGTTAGTTGAAATGGCCGCTAGAGAGAGGGAGAAAGTGTATATGAAAGTGTAATGTGCACCTCAGCCTGTTTCTTTGAGGTGGTATTTTCTATTCCATTCCTCCCAAAAAAGAATGAGACTGACATCCTTTCCTTAAAGCGTACTCATGGGATTTGCTTATGTTTGTGCAAAAAGATGCATCTCAGCTGAGATGAGCAACTCATGTTTGTTCACTCCTGAACCCTTTGCAGTGTGGAGTAAACATCAATATGTTTGTGGAATGAACATCAGTATGTTTTTGATGTTATGTGGGTTGTTGGGCTCTGCCTGAGGAAGTGATAATCTTAAACAAAGGGGAGGTAACCGGTATAATTGCAAGTAAGTCATGTTAGCACATCCTTAGTTCAGATAACAAGTAGCATGTACGGTTTATTTTTCTTCTCCTACCTTGAATTCATACTTGGAGTTAGTGAGGAGGAAAGAAGACAATCAACTGATAGTAGGAGAATATGATGCTGGTCACACCACAGTTCAGTTATTTAATATGTCAGTTTGCTTTTCCCTAAATACAAGAGAATATGCAAGGCCAGATTTGTAATTACACAGTGGAAGGGTATCGAAGATTTGTCAGTGTCTCTAATAGGTGGGGTCTCGTTGGTGTTGTGTCTCTTATCTTGGCTTGGCAGAAGGATGAATCAGCGTGGGGTAGGTTTATCAGGGAGTGTTACAGTGCCGAAGTGTTGCCTCGTTAACGCTGCACCATGTGGTGGTGTACGTGTTTTGGGTTGCAGGATGGGGCTCAGCTGTTCATTTCAGTGGGAGCTGTTCTGTCTGCTTATCAACAAAGGAGCGGCTCAGCCAGCAGAAGTGTACGGTCCTCAGCCAAGCCATGGATCCACACAGCCTGCTGTGCTGCTGGTGGACAGCAGAGGAGGTTTGTGGGGAACGTATAGGAAAGGGTCTCCTACCCTTGGCAGCAGCTGGCGTTTTGAGGACGTTCCTGAGCTGAGGGTTGCACAAGCCTGTTGGGTTTGATAGCCTCAGATGGACTCTGGAAAGCTGTCTGATCGTTTATTGAACTCATTTATACTTTGGCCTCCACAATATCCCAAGGCAACAAATTCCACATTTAACTCGGCGTTGTGTACACGAAAGAGTCTTTTAGTTGTTCTGAATCTTCTGTCTGATAATGTCCTTGGCTATCATCTAATACCTTTATCGTGAAGAACCACAACGAATCATTTGCTGTTTGCTCTTGTTCACACCATTTGTTATTTTATCGACCTTTCTCCTGTTCCCCTTCTGACTTTTCTTCCAAGCAAAAGAATTCTAGTCTGTTTAATCTTTCCTCATATGAGATTGTCTAGTATCTCGCCATTTCCTGAGCCTTTTAAATATGCCCTATATGGGTTGGGTGACCAGGAGTACTTTCATTGACTTTTAATACCCAGCACTCATGTAAGTGGAATAAAAGGTTTAGGTTTCTTTCTGCACAGGTACTAGCAGTGACACCTCGTGGCAGTCCTCTAGCTCTCAGCAAACAGCATTAAGTCTTGCAGACTAAAATGTTTTCCTGGTGGTGGCTTGTGTGATGCTGTTCAAGAGGGACACTGCCAAGTGTATTCCATTAGTGTGTATTTAATTACATTAAGTTACATTAAGCTATTCATCTCTCTCCTGATTCTGCAAACATTAATTTAGCTTGATGCCTCAGGGTTTTCAATAAAGCAATATGGATGTTTTTCTCAGGTTTTAGTTAGGCTTCCCCTTGTTCTGTCAGCATTGTTTGTCAGCATTTTCTTTCCTGCAAAGGATGGATGTGAAACGTGCAAATGCCCAGAGAAGGTTGAATAAGGACAGTCTGTATTTTTGAGTAAACATTAAGGTTTTTTGCCTTAATGTATGGTATTCGAGAATTATGGTTTAGCAAGTAATGTCCAGTCTATCTTTGCACCTTTTTTGTTGTAAGAAGGAATTACTCCATTCCTGTAGCAGCCATTCTCTGATCCTGTTTCATACATCTTAGTGGAGGCTGTATAATGATAGTGATATTCAAATCTTAGAATTGTACCTTGCAGATAATAGTATATTTTCCTGTGTAGCTTCTTATGCCGCATCCATTATGTTAGGGTTTGAGTGCCTTCCAGTCGCGTGCTAATCTACGTGACTAGTATCTGCCAGTATCACCGAGTCCCTGGGGGATAAGTGTGTGCGTAGCGGAGCAGAGCAAGAGCTTTTGAGGTGTCGGTACTGAAAATGCCCTGCTGTACATTTAGAACCTCAGATTACGGAGTTGTGTAACTTATGATGCAATGTTGTACTTTCTGCGAAGTATTTCTCGTGTCAGAACATTGAAATGCATTTCTGGAAACAGTGGAGGAACCAGAGACCAGCGCCTTGATCAAATCTACGCTAGCTCGTCTTTTTAATTTTGATGCTCTTGCTGCCTCAGCAGTAACCAGTATAAATCATGTCTTGGCAACATTAACTTCTTAAAAGTTGCGAAGATTAGACTCTTCAGATTTCTACCTGACAGATGTCTTCCTTATCGGAGACTTTATGCCACGTGTACTGGTTTTGACACAAATTTGTGCTCAATGGCATGTCCATCCAGCAGCTCAGGTAATCATTCTGCTTTACCACTTGCATGGTTAGAATTTGGACATACTTGCTTTTTCTCTGTGGTCTGCTCAAAGTTTCTCTGTAGCCAGAAACCTCGTGTGAAGAAGATGTAGTCTCTTTCTGGTACCCACATGCAGCATAACAGGAGGCAGAAGAGGGTCTCATAACATGCCTCACAGGAGCAGCTGATGTGCTAATTTAACTTTTTTATGAAAGATGTTTGTGATGAGGACAGAACACCGTGCTAGATGGTTTGCTGTTACCTTCTTGACTTTTTTTGTGTTACTTGAATGATGTTATCCTTGATCTTTTCCTGAAGTCCTTATTTGGATAAAAGATTGCACTGGTGCTTAGTCACAGGAACACTTGTTTTAAAGCCAACGAGTAAACAGTTGGCAGATATATTGGGTATTACTAAGGGTTAAATATGCATCGAAGCATTTTAAGAATGCTTTTTACAAATGGAAAAAAATATTCAAACCAACTGTTTTATTGCTATATTGGGAAGTTGTGGTTTTGATAGTTCTTCTGTACTGTTTTTAATACTTACGCTGAAGGCATGCCATCAGACCAGTGTTACAGAAGTGGTTTCAGTTGCTCATTATAAATCCCCCGCATCTTGGTGTCAGTTGGCCCCTGCTAACTACGGGGTAGTGTGGGCAGTCTCTGAAGGGGGTTCATCCGCTTCCATGTTCTTTCACTGGGAGGATACAACGAAGGGATGGGGCACTGTGCGCCTGGCAGGTTAGAAAGAGGTGATGGGGCCACGTTTCTTAGATGATAAGAGCCCATGGAAATGTGGTTAGGTGTTCTGGAAACAGACCTTTCTGGTGACTTGTCTTTACATTTCTGATCTGCTTATGCTTTCTGATATACTCAGGTTTTTTTCTCTACTTACCCTAGAGAGATAAGTATGATTAAAGAGAGAAGTTACTTTTGCAGTGTTCACGTCTCAGCAAGGGGAGCAATTATTTGAAAGTGCTTCCGTGGTTCTTCCTCGAATTCCTGCTACTATTTGGTTCTTCAGATTTTTCTTGAGCAGTGGGATGAGGAGAGGTGTTCTACTTCCACCTGAAGGCAGTTGGTGGGATTGTGGTCTCAACACTCACTGAGTGATAAGAACCGAAAAAGATAGTATGTCCCATGTAGTGGGGGAAGAAGTGAGACTTAACAACAGTGATGCTAGTGGCTGCTCCATGAGCATTGTGTGTTTGAGAACAATTTCTTCCATATTTATGTATAAGCTTCATGTTTGTCACAGGTATATTGTGCACACAGTCATCTATAGTGATTGTTGGTTCCCAGGAACTTGTTAAGCTGCAGTAAATGCATTTTGCGTTATACCCTTTAGCTCCTGCCTCAGTACCACTGTCCCTGCCAGAATGTTGTTAACATACCTTTTTTTTTTTTCTCTCCCCGCTTTTGCAGTCTCTGCTTGTGACAGTCAGAACTGCTCATGTGATTTTACGGTGAGTACCTTATGTTTTGCAGGATGGTTGTTCAAGAAGGTAGTGCATATAGCATGTGGATTTAAGAGGTGTATGTAATTACCGTGTTGAATTGGCAGATGCATATTTGGAGATGGGCAAAGGTGGTTAACTTTAGCCTGTACTATTTTTAAGCATGAATTCTGCAAAATTAGTGGGTGCTAATAGCTTGAGGCATGGATTAAAATGGATTGGTGCTGCTGCATGAGGGTTGGTATATGCTACTTAATGTCATCCTACTGGGTTTCATTTAAGATCTTAATCTCTAGAACTTTTGCTTTGAAAAAGTAGCGTGCGTGTGTATCTGTAATGCACATGGGTATGCATATGTGGGACATGATGTGTAGCACAGAACCTCTTTATCCAGGTCACTATTGGCATTTCAGGTCTGTCACCAAGCTGTAATGCCTCACCTGAGAAACACTTCATGTGCTGAAAAATGTGGGTCTGTAGTTACTGTAATCCCACGATTGGCTTTGGTACACGCAGGAGTTTTTAGCAAATGCTACATCTCCATCAGCTGGTGATATCTGTAATGCCGGTGTGGGCTAAGCATTGATTGTTTTTTTCCTTTTTAAAATGTTGCTGTTTGAAACCAGTAACGTTAAAAAAAAGTCCCCCAGGAAAGCACACAGTGTGGACACTGGGCTTAGGAAGGGCAAAGAATCCATATCCAGAAGTTGTTTGGAAAATGGGTAAAAAATAGTTTGAATGCTAGAGATGCCATTTAACAAAAAAGATAGAATAATGTTAATTTCCCTGCTTTTGCAGCTATGTAATTCATCTCTGGGATCTCAACCATGAAGGAACGTGGGAGGGCAAAGGCACTTACGTCTACTACACAGATTTTGTCATGGAGCTAACCTTGCTTTCACTGGACTTGATGCATCATATTCATATGCTGGTATGAAATACTGGACATAATGTTGAGCGAATAGACTGGCCTTAAAATAAAGGGTACTGGGTATACATATTTTATATATTTTTTTGCTTTGCTTATTGTAGGAACCAAACACTACAGAGATGTTATTTAAATAAAGAGGAAAAGGTAGTGTGGGGGTTTCTGGCATTCTTTTCTCCTGTGTAATTGGAGTCCTCACAAATAACTTTGTTATAGAGTATTAACTACTGTGTAATTATTGGTTTAATAAGTGTTTAATTAGCTTTGTTATTGAGTAATATCAGACTGAATTATATTCATTGGCAGCAGGGGACATTAAGCTGAACAGGACTGAATACAGTTTACCCGTATTATAAATGCTGTGCTGCTTAAGTTGTATCTGAAGATGTAACGCGTAGTAATACCTGTGAACAGTGTGGTTAGTCTGAATGGTCTCAACAAAAGGAAAAATCTTCAGTGCTGGTTTCTTAATTTCTTTTTCTCTTAAGACCTGATGCAGTTTCTTGTGGCAGCCTCTTGTTTCCCATGGTGTTTATTTCTAATCACTGTTCTGTTTTTTTCCAAAGCTGTTTGGCAATATCTGGTTGTCAATGGCGAGCCTGGTGATTTTTATGCAGCTGCGCTACCTGTTTCACGAGGTTCAACGAAGAATTCGGCGGCACAAGAACTACCTGCGTGTGGTTGGAAACATGGAAGCTAGGTGAGCCTCGTATTTGCTCTGGGATCTTGATGTGCATCTTGGAGAGAAGTTCCTGATGAAGAAGTTGGGATTCTTTTACGTTCCTTTAATACACGATGGCATGGTGTAAGCTGGAGAGATGCAATCTTGCAGATCCGGCTCTTAAGTCTTTACACTTAGAGTATGTTTTTACCCATTTTATTTGTTACTACAGACACCCTTTTCGGTTTTAATGGGTATGTAGGATTGACTTTTATAATAGCAGTACTACTGGTAACATATTACTGGCAACAAGTGAACTCCCCTGTCCAGTATTTCTTCTCCTGTATTCTCTTGCACACTGCCCTGGTGGGGTGACATAAGTTCTGCGGAGCTTTGCCTGTTTCAGTTGTCAAATGTTGGCTTCGGCTTTGATAGAAATAAATGCTCTTAATTTCATTAGGCCATACTATTCATACTATTCAGTTACTGCCTGAAATGAAATCAAAATACTAATTAGAACCTGCTCAGCTTTAAGTACGTATTTATTAAACCTGAAGCCACTCTGAACAGACTCTGTACTTGTAGTCGAGCTGAGAGCGCCTTGGGATTACTTTAGTCCATCCCCCTGTACTGAGGCAATGCAGAGAAATCAAGAGGCCTGCGAAAATCTAGTATTGTGCCAGATACTACTGCCTCTCTGATCCAATGTTTTCGTAACTCAGCTATGTCTTTGATAGTTTTAAGAGCAACAGGGAATTTCACTCTTTCTGTACATCGCTGTACCATTTTCGTTGTGGACTGCAGAGGGTTTGACTGGCTCCGATGCCTGCTGCTGTAGGCCAGATGGAGAAGACTGACTTCTCTAGAAATTCCTGAGGTTTTCTTTGTGAAAAGACATTTAATGGCTGTAATACCAGGTTAAGAGCTGCATAATAAAGTTAATGCTCAATGCATTGTTTCTTTTCAGTAAGATGCAGACGCTAAACGCCTTTAAGCTGCTCACAAAGCTGTTTGAGTTGCAAGTGTCTCAGACTTCTTGTCTGAGCAACTTGATGTGTTTTTGTCATTCTGATTTTCTGGAAGAACCACATTCTAGCTTCATCCCGAAGCTGCCAATGGCAGTGAGCTCCCTGCATTTGTGTAGTTGTTTTTCAGGCACGTTCCACACCAGCAGTCCTGTGAAATGCTGTTACACCACTCATCTCTATATTGTCCGTGTTTGGGTATTATGTAGTAGCTACTTGCCTGACGCTGTAGTTTAAAAAAAGAAAAAAAAAAAAATCAAAGACAAATGGGAGTTGGCAAAATCTGAGGCCAAAATTAGTCAGACCATAAATGCTTATAGTGATCCCAAGAAGACATCTTAATGGGTACAGCTATTAAAACTCATTTAGAAAAATGACATAAGCCAAATCTATACAGATTATAACTCGAAGTTCTCAACCTAATGATCATACTTCTTGGAAGATAGTAAGACAAAGCTTTTTGCACTTAGGACGTGCGCGGAGATGTGCAAAAAAAAGTGCCTGTAAGAAGACATGGGAGGGATGTGTGTGTGTGTCTTCCTTTGCAGTGTGAGTTTGAGTTACGGAAAAAAATAGCAAACCTGCTGGCACATCTCTCCCAAGGAAAAGTTAATGTGGAGGATAAGGTTTTCTCAGTGCAGGATTCTCTAGGCAGGAGGCCATGCTGAGCTGGTGTAGTCATTACTTCTGTCTCTTCCTTTTTCTTCTTTGTAGGTTTGCAGTTGCAACACCAGAGGAGCTAGCAGTCAATAATGACGACTGTGCCATTTGCTGGGACTCCATGCAATCCGCACGTAAACTCCCTTGCGGCCATCTCTTCCACAAGTACGTTTCTGGGGCTGGAGAGGGTGCACCTGACTATGGAAAGGAAGGGATCTATGGGCATGTCTGAAAGTTACAGCAGGATGACAAGTAATGAACTATGAGCAAAGCTGTGGTTGCTTACTGCCTGGGTCCTCTTGGTCTGCCTGTCATAACAAAGTACAAGTCATGTTCACTTCAGTCATTTTCACATTTGAGTTGTTTTACCTGGTGCATTCTTTTTTCCCCCCAAACTAAGAATATGCATCTTGTCAACTAATGAGTAGGTGGCGTTGAGTTCTGGCATCTCAATTGCAAGTCTGTACCCTGCCTCGCTGTGTAACTGCTTGGTAAAGCACACTCTTTTCCCCCTTACTTTATCCTGTGCATCACCACTTCCATGAAGGTGTGTTGATTTTCAGGTGAGGAAGAAAAAATTGGAGTTAGATCCTTAAGTACCTTTTGGATATCAGCTTTAAAGAGAAAACAGGGAATATTTTTATGCATCCTTGCATGGTGATGAGTCCCCCAGGACAGTTGTGGAGGCCAGGTCTGATTATGTGATTTCATGGAGGGATGAGTCCATCAGGGCTGTAAAACAGGTTAACCAAATTAGCTGAAGAGGTCCCTAGGCAGCTGGTAGTTGGAACTGGGAGGCTCTTGGCCGAAGGATCTCTCTATATACTGTTTCTTACACTCACTCAGTAGGGAATAGTAGGAGATGCTTGTGGAGACGGTGTGCTGAGCTAGATGCGCCTTTTCTTAGATCTTTTGTAGCAGTGCTTACATTTTCATGCTTGTGCTTAAAAATGAAAGGAGATACGGGGATTGAACCAGGAGTTTCTGAAGTGCCATGTGATTAACATGCATGGTCAGTTAAATTGTCCCCGTGGTGTCACATGAGCAAGTTACTTTCTGCAAATAGCTTTTTACTTTTCTGGTAACTGTCAAACCAGAGGTTATAATCCGTGTGCTAATTTGTTGTCATTTATGACAAACCTTGCCATAAATATTTATCTGTGTTCCAAGAAGTCTCTAATGAGCTAATGCGCCTCTGTAGCAGAAACTCCTCTTCCAATGCTACTGAATCGTAGGAATATTTAATCACCTACTGAGCACTTGAGAAGCCCAGGGTCTTCTCTTCAGAAAGTTGTTTTCTCTGTATCTAAAAGGATCCTTTTGTATTTTTTTCTCAAGCTAAGTTACACTTACCTTCTTGGTGCATTTAGGGAGGGAACATGTTGCAGTGGATGACTTAATTACATCTGGTTTTATATGCAAGCTTAATAATCCTATTTACAACCTAAGAATGGTTTCGCTCCTCATAAAAGCCTGGTGATTTTGCCAACAGGCTAAACATTGTGTCCGTTCTCAATTACATGGGATTTTTTTTTTCATAGCCATTTATTTGGAGTAGAAGAGAAGATGGCAGGGAAGATTCACATCACTGAGATCAACTCTATGCCTAAATATTAAGTTTAATGGGAGCCTGAATCTTTTAGGCTCTGTTGAAACTCTCTCCTTTCTTTTAGGAAGCAGTCAATTTCAAAAGAGTTGTTGCTCTGAAATGTTGCCGACCTTGACCTGTTGTTAGTCATCCTTCTACTGAGGTGCTGTAGGCGACTGAGCCCTTCTGCCTGTGCGGTACAAAATGGGTATAACCAGGGCTGGCTTACTGCCAGCCTTTAGGGCTTGGTGCTGATGCAGGCTGAAAGGGGTATGAAACGTGTCCGTTCCAGCATCTCGGGGGTTGAGCCGTTGAGGAGCAGCAGCGTGATGGTAGCTTGTGTCAGTCCGGGTGTTTCACAAGTGACCTTTTGAGTACAACTGTAGCAGCGGTTTGAGCTTGCTGTGTGCAGGGTGGTTTTCCTGTAGTAATGGAGATGAAGTTGGACAGCATCAGCAGTGCTAACGTGCTGGCTGCGCTGATGACCAAGATGGTGGAAGATGGTAGATTTTTATTGTAGGGCTTTGGGTGTTTTTGGGAAACCCATCACTGTAATTTCTGAACACTCTGTATCCCTCCATTTAAATATGATGGAAAACACTTTGGCAATATGTCTATACGCTGCAGCTTCAGGAATTGTGCAGAGTGCTTGTATCCTTGACTTTGCTATAATCCTGCAATTAGGACTTTTTCCTTGCTCTCTCACCCCAAACCTGTAATCTGTGCCTTTACTCCATTTGCAAATACAGGATTTGGGAAACAGGTTTATTTGACTTTTTTGTATGTCTCTACCTTTCTAAAGTGTTTTGAGAGCTTCTGCTGGGGAAAAAACCCTACCCTGCAAGCGTGAAGTATGTGTTGTAGTATTGAGATGTGTTCAGTTCTGTGAAATTCCGTTCTTCCATACTGAAAATCAGGTTTAACCTGCCAACAAATATCACAACTGGGTCACATCAGTCTGAATCAAAAAGTAGGCACAGCTCTGAGTGCTTAAACCTGCATTTCAAACACTTCTCACTTTCTGCACGGCAGCAAATGTTCAGAATTAAGTAAATATTATAATGGTACAGCACTGGTTAGTATTAATAAATCTCTCTAGAGATTTCCCAGAGTGCTACTCACTTTGGTGGTGATTTGGGTATTGATAATTTTTGAAAAGATATTTGAAAAACTGTGGAGGTGCCATGGTCACATCACACTGGCAGAACTGCTATGAAAATGTGTCAGTATATTTCAAATACTTGTCCAGTTGGTTTTTGTCCTTTTTCAGTTGGGGATGTTGAGAGAAGAGAAACGCTTTGTTTCCCCTTCCAGGCAAAACTTGCATGTTCTGAGCTAGAGGGACAACAAACTTTGAGAGAGTTTTAAGTTTGTGATAAATCTGCATGCTTGTTTATAAAAAGTCAACACTTGAGTGTTTTCAGCTGAATAAGGAACCTATGCCAGAGTCATCAGGAGCTCATCAAGTGTACCTCACAAATTATCTCTGAGCAGTCCATGTGTTGATGTTCTGTACAGAATATGGTACAGCTGCTTGATGTACTCCTGATACTGATGTCTTGGAAAAAAGCTGCAAGCTCACCATAATGTTACTGTTTTCCTGTCAGCTCATGCCTGCGGTCCTGGCTGGAACAAGATACATCTTGCCCCACCTGCAGAATGTCTCTTAATATCACTGACAGCCATCATGTGAGGGAGGATCACCAAAGGGAAAATCTGGATGAGAACCTGGTCCCCGTGGCAGTAGCAGAAGGCAGACCACGCTTGAACCAGCACAATCACTTCTTCCACTTTGACGGTGAGCTAAGCAGATTTGACATCTGATGCTGTTGCCCAAATAAACGAAGGGAACAGCTTTCTGTAGAAGGGAATTCTGTCCATGCTTCAGTTGAAACTTAAATCGTGCCTCTGCTTGCGTTTGTCAAACACATATATGTTTCTTACGGTTCTTTTGCAAGAGCTCAGATACGTGTCTCTGAGATTGTCCAGAGCTACAGAGATTTCTTGAAAGATTTTGTGCAAATGCTCCCTTTTTTTTTTGATTTGTTGTGGTTAGCAGCTTTAATACTGGCATTTATTCATTGTGTGCCATGTTGACCAACAGAATGGGAAATTCATGTGTCTTATTTTTTTACCAGATGGTTAATCAGTCAAAGAGAAAAAAACCCTCTGTGGTGCAGTCTAAAAGTTGATCTTTCCCCTATCCCGTAGCTAATGTGAGGTTGTCAAAAGTCCATTTGCCACTCAATTTACAAGAAACTTGCAGTGCTTTGTTAGGTGCAGAAGTCTGCAGAAGCTTATTCTTAGAAGGAATCATGTAACCGGAACAGTTTTACGTGTTTTTTTTCAGTGGTGTGTTATAAGTACTCACAAAGCAGATGTGATTTCAGACCATGATGAGTTCTGTGTGTGCAGACAAACTTGTTCTGAAAGAGACAATTTCTGTTGCTTATCACCCAGATTTTTTTATTGTTTTGGTATCGGTGTGTGCTTATTTTCCACAGTTTCCCAGGTTTTTGATGGCAGTCTTTTTGTGTCTCAGTAGGTTTCACTAGTGCGAATACTCAGCGTTGGGCTCTGGCCTTGTGGAGCTCCCATGATGTAGCTGAGATGCTGCAAAGTCACATAGTGACCCGTTCTTCGTCTCTGCTGGTTTTGCAATCTTTGGAGGTTGTGGGAGGAGAGTAATGGGCAGAGAAGGGTCAGACATTTCTAGGTACACTGAGACTGGCTGATAGCTTCTTGCATGGCTCCCGCTTCTGGGATGCTTTAGGTCTCCAAAGGACATTTATATTTAGAATACCACTCTGTTTTTTGATAGCTGTCCTCCCATTGCTCTGCCATGGCTTGGAGACCCGCAAAATTACTGTGGAGACAGGAGGAGAAGTTGCATAGAGCAAACCCTGTGTTTATTTAAATGGAAACGCAGAAGGAGGAGGGAGCCAGCCGTGTGCCCTGCGCTGTTGAGCCTAAGCACACAATTGCAGAGCAGTCACTTTGTTCGGTTACTCTGTGTCCCTTTGTAGTAATGTTTCCTCAGTGATGCCAGCCACATATAGCTGACCCGTTTTGGGACCAGATTCAGCTGGTTTAGAAGCTGGCCTGTTTTTAGTAAAATTGTTGGAGTTATTAATGTATTCCAGAACTGAATTTGGCTCTGGATTATTTTAATTTTCCCTTTAATGGGAACATTAAAACAAGAAAACGAGGATGTGTTTTCTTGGTCCTCTTCTGGCCCTCAGATCGTTAAGCTACTGTGACTGTGTTTGAAGAGAGTATCAGCAGTTACTGATTTACTCCAGCCATCTCCATGTTTGGGAGGCCTTTGGGATGGATTGTACTGCAGAACTCCCCATATGTACCTTGTGGAAATAGGAAGACTTTTGTTAAATACATGTAGAAGTACTTCGCCTGCTGAGAACCTCGTATCTTTGGTTGACTTTCTTGGTGATTTCTTATTCTTAGGCTCTCGAATTGCCAGCTGGCTGCCCAGTTTTTCAGTAGAAGTGATGCATACTACAAACATCCTCGGTATCACACAAGCCAGCAACTCCCAGCTTAATGCTATGGTAAGACTGCTTTAATGGTTTCCACCTCAGCCTTCCTATTTGTGTTGTGGGGGAGAAAGAGGTACATGTAAATGGAGAACGTAAGGGGGAAGGAAGTAAAAACAGTGTTTAGATGCTACATGAAAGCTATTTTTTTGAGTGAGAGAAGCTTTATTTTAGTGAAGTTAGGGCTATATGTTGGTTCAAATGTGCAAATGTAAAAGAACAGGTCTGGAGGTAGGTAAATGAGGGAGAAAAATTACATGTACTTTCTGTGTAGATAGGCGGATTTTTTCTCGGCTTGCTTAGTGCAACTTCTTTAGCTTTTTTTCAGTACTTATCTTCACTCACAACTTGCAGTAGCAAAGGGCATGAGTCTCTAACCAGAGAATTTAGCTGTTGGTCAAGTGGTAACTGATCAAATCCATTTTATAGCTTTTGATTTTTTTAGTATTTATTTTTAATAGCACTAAGCTCCAAGATAGCTGTTTCTGTTTGAGTGTGTTGTCAGTGTGAGATGGGGCTCTCTGTAGCACAGTCAACTCTTGCTGATTCATGATGATGATAGGAGTGTTGAGGATGAAATCCCCGGTTTGTTGACTTCATACATAAACACTCTCATGTAGTACAAAAAGAGAAGGATATGGCCTCATGAGACACATTAGTTTGAGAAGTGCTATTTCGTCTGAGTTCTTAAAGCTACTGTGTGCTATATGGCATGTTAATGAAAGTTCAGTGAGGTATCTCGTGAAAGTGATGAAATTTTCTGAATGTGAGATCTCTCCCATAGCCTTCACTACTGTTTAAGCCTCAACAGGATAAAGCCACAATTTTTAGGGGGTTTGGGGCAGGGTGGGCAGGGAGCAGTAAGGTGTTGGCAGATGATTTATTAGTTAAATACGCAGGAACTCTCCATCTAAGGTCAGTTTAGTTTTTCTTTTACTGGACACAGTGACACAAATGGGCTTTTGTTAAGGATGACTAATGATTTCTTAGCATTGTGTATTATTAAAAGTACAGTAGCAACTTACATTAAAATGTTTACTTTAATGGAAAGGCCCAGGTTAGCAAACTATTAGTGTGTTACACATTTTTAATAGAAAATAAGTGAAATTCTTCTTTGTGTTACTGGATAAAAACCTAGGGAAGTATTTTGAGGGAAAGGTCAGAGGCTGAAATGGTAAAGCAGTTGTTTTGGTCACAGTTTAGTACAATGGAGTGTTAGGTTTGCTGTAGTTGCTTGTGTTTGAACTCCCTGTCAGGTGGTGCATAGTTTTTGCTCTCAAAACTCCCTCCGCCCTTCTTTTCTTATTGTTGTTGTTCTCTTTTCCCCCTGCCCCATAACTTTCAGCATTAGTTAAAATATAGATTTTAATACTTAATGAACTCTAGCTGTTGGACTCTAAAAGCACATTATTTGTCTGCCCTCTTACATTTATCTGTTTAATTTGGATATTATTCAGGTAACTTGAAATTCAATAATAACAGTTCCCTGACAACTCAGTTTAATTTACTTGAGTTTTCAGACCCTGTTAAACTGGCTTGTAGGCAGGGTGGCTGGAGAGAGTAGGTTATTAAAACTTACTCCACTTGTCCTTACCAGTACCATTTTGGAAGCCGTCTGGGACAAAGAAAAATGGTTGGTGTTTTTTTTTTTTCGGTGTTGATCTAACTTTCAGTCACTCATGTGAATTTTGTGTAGATCTTTATTGAAAAGGCTGTCATAAAAAGAGAGTTGGGAAGCTTTTGAAGCCTTTGTGCATCTACAAGCACTGTTCAGGAATCTAAATTTTCAGGACCATGTGGTGTCTTCATAGGATTTGCAGTTTTGCTGTTGGCTTCAATGGAGTCAAAATACGGCCCTGTAAGTCAGTGCCAGCATGGGTTTCCCTTATCTTGTTTTTCTTTCTGTGTGTGGGTTATCGTATCATAAACAGCATCTTTGAGCTGTTTCATTTTTATCTGTTTCTGTTGAGATACTTGCCAGCAAACTTTCATGTACTGCTGATACTGACTGTATAAACTTTGTTTTCTCCAGGCCCATCAGATTCAGGAGATGTTCCCTCAGGTTCCTTATCATTTAGTTCTACAGGATCTGCAGCTAACCCGTTCTGTAGAGATCACCACTGACAACATCTTAGAAGGGCGCATCCAGGTACCTTTCCCCACGCAGGTAAGTCATAAGACTGTGCACCTAAAATCACTGGCTTTCTTACTTACCGCAGAACTGAGCCTGTTAGTAACGAACGAGGGGAACGAGGTAAGTTGAAGCACTGGTGAATCCAGCTTAGCTTAATGCAATATTATTCTTCAGATTTTACCTATATGAAGATGTTGCAGCCAGAAGCGCCAAACCAGTTTTGGCAGTCTGGCGTGTGTTGTATCTCCGTGTTGCAACATCTGACTCAGTTGGAATGTCTCACAGTGGCGTGTGATTGAGGTATACGCATCTGTTCCTTACTGTGGCCCTTAGAAGAAGGCCTTTTAATGTATTAGGATGAGTCTCAGATGTGCTTTAGCATTATCCATTTGTAATACAGGGTATTTTCTTTATGAAGGAAAGTCGGAGTCTATCACCCATGCCCTATAGCTTGCCCCTTATTGATGTGATTGGACTGCAGGATGCATGAAGTGCTTGCCTATACAGTCTCAAACATGTTGTATAGTGCCAAATTCTAGTAAAAAAAGCCTTGGGATTTGTTTTTTGTCTGTTTAAATCTCTGTAAATGCAGTATATTCAGTCATGTAGCAAAAATATATTGAAAAGGTCCTAGCTAGAGACAAATATTTGCTCAGTTAAAGCAGCTCTTCTTGGTCGCTCTTTTGCAGAGCCTTTAGAACGTGTCCAGTTGATTTCTCTGCTGACAGATAATTGAATTGTACCACTTAGGAAGGTTTTCTGCAAAGAAAGTAGTCGGTAAAATGATGCCTTGTTCTTAATTAGTGATAGCAGATTTCAGTAAAGCAGTCTGGGGACAATGTTTCTGTTAATAAGAATATTGAATTCTGGTTCTGTGCACGTCAGATAGTACTGTTATCTGGAGTCTGCGTGTGGGGAAGCAGAGAGAATTCTCTTTTCAACACTGCATTCTGCTTATTACTAACTTATCTGTTTCTAAATTGAACATAACACATGACGTTTGCAGAGGGCAGAGTTCATGTTCAAAGAACTCGTTTTTGTTTTGCCATTTCACACACTGTATTAAACCCATGATGTTTGCATTTCAGCGTGCAGATAGCATTAGACCTGCATTGAACAGTTCTGTGGAACGGCACAGTACTGATCAGGAGGATACTGAAACTGTCACCCAGGTAATTTGGCATAAAAATGGGCAAAAAGCACAATTAGAAGCTGCATGGACAGATAAGTGCATTTGGTTCCGTACCAGGTCAGCTTGGTGGCAGCCCTTCCTTGCGTTTCACACCAGAACTAACGCTGTCGGGCAACTGAAGTCAGACTTCAGCATGGTGCTCCTGTAAAGAATTATCTGTGTGCTTTTCTTTTTCCTCGTGGAGGGAAAGTGCTCTCAAGTGATACAAAGAACAGGAAAAGATCATGTCTGTTCACGTCTGGTCAGGCCCATGCCCATCTGTGGAATATGAAGAGCAGGATGTTTTGCTCTTCCCCTTCCTCTTCCTCTTCCTGTTCTGTACGTCTCCAGACACTTCCTTTAAAATGAGTAGTATTTCTCTTCTGGGTATAAGAAGTCTTTTGTGTTCCGGAGGAAGCACTTGAAGACATGGGGAGCTTTGGTGTGAATGGAGTGGGATACAAACAGGACCAAGAGATAACAGCCCTTTTACATATAAAGCACAATGATGGGGTTTGCTGTTCTTCACTAAGGGCTTTATTAAGCAGCATGTGCTAGCTAAAATGTGGCAGGAAGAAAAAAAAATGGCCTGTGAGTAGAATAGAGTCTCATTCCACTTTTGTTTTCCCTGACTGTAGTAGCAAAATCATGAGGGTTTCTGTTTTGTAAACCTCCCTTTCTGCTGGCTTAGAAAGAGTGAATTAGTGAGGCATGTGACTTTCTGCCTCTGCAGCCTTTAATAACCTAAATAGCCAACCTGTTACTCACCTGAAATTGAACTGTGGCAGTTCCCTCGTTAACAGGTTGCAAGACAGAAAAAGCTTTCATTTGGTTTGATACTGCAGTTGAGGCTGAAGCAGGGGTGGTGGGGATTGGTACAGGTGCTTAAGAAGAGCCTGGGGTAGGAGGTGCAGAACTGCAGGAATGAAAATCTTGATCTGGGTTTAGCAACTCTTTAATAACGTTTTGGGTTAACTTGAAGGTTTTGGTGGCATTTTCCCTGTTCTTTATGAGTAAAACCTCTCTTTTTACAAATGGTATCTAACTAGTTTTCCTTAGCTCGGTACTGGCTTCAAATCCCACTTTGAATGATTGTGTTGCTGTTCACAGGCGCTACCTGTGTCTCTGTCCTTCCTTCTACAGAACTTGAAAAACCTGGGAGTGGTGTTTGTACGTCATGTCATTGAGCACGTGCTCTCTAATAGTGACGTCTCCTTGCTTTGAATTACAGCTAAGGACTTTGCTCAAGTGATGTGTTTTAGCTGGAGCGAATGGCAGTTTGTTTTGTAGAATAGCACGGTGATGGCCTGGAGTACGTGAGCAGTTGCGGATTTCCCACAGCTGAGTGGGGCTGCTGGTGGCTGTGTGTGTGAGATGAGCTGGTGGCCTCTGCGCAGGTTTTCCTGGGTGGATATTTACTGTGCCAAATGGGATTCATAGGCAAAGGCTGACTGAGACTGCCATGCACTGAGGGTAACTTGCTGCTGGGTAGCGTTGTGGAAGCTCCGGTTGCTGCTGTCCTCCTCCTGCCTTGTAAATGCTTTGTGCGTTCAGCGTTAACTTAGGCCAGCTTCAAACAAGCTGCTCACCCTCGTTACACAACCACAGAGATCTACTTAGGAGTCAAGCTTGCTTACCTCCTTGCTATTGATAGTATTTCTGCTGTGGGGAGAAGACTTGGGAGCCTAGGGGCATCCTTCCTCTAGGAAACTCCCGTCACTTTTGTGTCTCTTTGATTTTGATTTGAGTTTTTGACCGAGTACCTGGCGTATCGTAGGTGTTCTCTTTATTCTTGCCGGAAGAAATACGTTGCTGTAGTCAGTCTAACTCTTGTCTGTATGGAAAGGTCTAACAGCAAACAAGCTACTTCAGCAGGTTGCGCTTGATTTTTAAGAAGCTTTTCAAGTGCAAGTGGGAAGGGACATAAGAAGCCATCATCATCTCCTCTGGGTGAGACGTGAATTTCCAAATAGTGGGTAGATGTAACTTCACACTTTACGACACAGTCCCTGAGAGAGACCATGGCAACTCTAGTTGCTTTGTGCTGCAGCCTTAGAGTAAGTTTTTGCAAGCTTTCCATCTCTTTTCTTTTTTTTTTAAAGTCAACATACCCACTGAGAATCTTTATAGATCTCCAGCAGCAAGTGGCAGACCCACTGGAGTTCTGCTTGTTGGAAATAACATTTCTTAGGGGAGCTAACATGCTCAAATAAAAGCACCCTTCCTCATGAGTAGTGTTGGTTTTCTCTGTGCCATACGTCATATTATGACTTAATTCTATCTAGAATTCAAGGGTCTTTAAGATAATGACTGATTCCACACACCCCTCCCCCAAAATGTAGCTTATGGTTTTGGGGTGTCAGTGCTGACATAACGTAAGGGTAGTTGAGAGACATCTCTGAGCACCATCAGGGTATAAATCATGTTAAAGGTTTGTGAGATAATGTTCTAGCCATTGACAGTTTCTAACAGTCCTGGCCTGTACACGTAGTAAGACGCTGTGCACATACTTTTCTCCAGGCGTGCATTGAAATGCTGATGCTTCCAGCAGCGTGCGTAATGCTGTACACGCTCGCTCTCCATCCCTGTCGTATTTGCCCTCCCTCCCCTCTTTCCTGGCTCTGCTGTTACTCCCTATAAGAACAGATCCCTGAGCGGCTATAGCTACTTTCTGCAAGCTTGTGTTTTCATGTGCTAAAATGTGTTTGAAGATTATCCTTTAAATTTTTTTTGTGTGTTTGTTTATCTGTTTCTGTAATCCTGGGTGGAGATTGGGTAGGACTGCTCAGACCTAACTGGTAAGCTGCTGTTACAAAGCCGAAGCTTGCCTGGTGCAGCTCTTGCCCCCACCTTGAGAATCCAGTTTATTATCCTTGCTTAAGTACTTGGTGACTTTAGAGACACTTCTGAGGCGTCCCATGGCTTTCATGAAACCTTTTCTCTTGGAGCCTGAAGGAGGAGTAGTTTCCGTAGTGTACAGGTTTCTGCATCTGAGATCTGCTCTCATACTGAGGCTTGTCATAACCTTTCCTGCAATTAGTTTTGATATTTTTGTCTCTAAAACCTCCTCAGTAACCACTTTGTGCTCAGATAGAAGAACAGGCTCTTGAACAAGGGTATTGATTTTTGCATCTTTGTAACGTTATGGGAAAAAAAGCTTAGGTGAGCTAGCTTGCATCTTCTGATACAAATGGCCCAGGGGGAAAAAAAAGTTATCTTGTCTGAACATCAACCGTAATGAGTGCCCTCCTCACTGCTTTACCCAGCAGAGCTGCTTTTTTCCGTGTCCACCTGTGTGGCAATGGGAAGCAGCAGTCGGGTTGCTCCGTACCTGTTCTTCTGGGTCTGCCGAGGTCGTCTTGGTCCTGGGTAAAATCCGTGAGATCATTCTGTGGAGCTTTCGCTTCCTCCTCTCGGACGTGGCATTGCTTTGAGGCAGTCCGTCGCGTTATCCCAGCGCGTTAGTGTGTGTGATACGGGGAGCCCTTCCCCAGCACGCTGGAATTTATGGGTTTTGCTGAAATAGGCTGAAGATGTACTTGTGTCTGAGGTTGCAGTGTTCGTACTGCTCTGGCTTGGGCCCTGGCATTCTGCTTGGTTCACCTAGTTGACGGGAAGTGACATTTGTCTTGGCTTTCGCTCTCTGAAGGCGTTGCGTCGGGGAGACGGCGTTACCGGTGCGTCTCTAGGGCTTTGGAATGACTCAGCTTGTTTTGCACATCAGCTGCTGAAACCCGTGCCTCGCACGCTGTAATGCGGCTGAGTCCGGGCTGTCGGGACTCGGGCAGCGGTCCCCCTGCGGCGCCCGCCTCACCGGCTCTGGAGGCTCTGCGGCGGGTTTACCAAAGGCCCAAAACTAGGCGGTAGGAGCTGACTTGGCTAATACCTCTCTTGATGCATCCTACTTGTTTGAGTAATCCTCTGGGATACCAAACGATGGCTGAACCCTTAAGCCTTTCATTGAGGTGATTTGTTTCTTGATGCTAGTAACATCTTGCTTTTCCATCGCAGAGCTGATCTGATCGTGTATGACAGGATGTGATCAGGATATGCTGTTTCACCTATGCTCGTTCACCAGCGTCATCATGCATCAGCTCAATTTTCACGTTAGTGTTGTCGGCCAGCTGTCAAGGGTGAGGAGGTGCTGTGTGCGGGGCTGCCAGCTTCTTGGATTGACACGCCGAGCTTGGGACAGTTGCCAGCCTTGCTCCGGCAGCCTGAATACACAATAATTTGGGTGCTGCAGAACCCGGTGAACCAAAGCCTCATAAATTCCCTTCTCCAGCACACTTCCTCTTTGCAAATACATTTGCTATTCTTTCCTCAGTATATGGATTGCAGCTTTTTAAACTCTTTACTGTTGCATTGCTTGTCAAGTCAGCTGCAGAATCTGACTATTTCAAATGCCCCATTTTCATAGAGCATTAATTATGAGTAATTAATGTTGGAGATTACTTTCAAATGTGGCATAAAAGATACAGCGTTATAGCATACAGGCTCTTTGAACATGTTTTGAAATAGCTTTGTTCTGTATTTTGGCTGGGCTTTTCAAAGGAGCCCAAGGGAATTGGGTACAGCAGGTGAGAGTCTAGTTTCTTCCAGTGCCTTAGAAAATGACAGTTCTTTGTAGCTTATTGATTTGATGCAAAGAAGCCCTGTTAGCAAATTCTGCAAAGACTTACGACTTCTTTCCTTTTCTTTTAGACTGAGAGAGTGCCACTTGAACTCAACTCAAGACTGGAAGAAACGGTGGAATTCAGCGAAATGGAAGCAGAGCCTAGTGAAGCAGAAGATTTTGAGGCCAGGGGAAGTCGCTTTTCAAAGTCAGCTGATGAAAGGCAGCGTATGTTGGTTCAGCGGAAGGAGGACTTGTTGCAGCAAGCTCGAAAGTATGTTCCTTTCTAAAACTCCAGCCTGGCCACTTGGCGATAGTCCCCCCAGAACGGGTTTCAAATGGATTATGACCACTGAGAGTCTGGGTTGTTGTAAAAAGTAGTAAGAGGAATGAATGCATCCGTTACAGCAGTCTCAGGATGCTGTTTAAGACAACCGTCGCTGATAAACCCAACTGTGAAATAGCGTCATGTGTCCCAACATGTCCACAGCTTCCTAAGCGGTTGATCCAAAGCTCTTTGAAATCAGAGGATGATTTCTCCAGCTTCAACGGGCTTTAGTCTGAGCCCGTAATAAGTGAGAACGCGTTACTTGTGCCGAGTCCTCTAGTCATCTTTAGCTTGCCTCCTGGTGTAGGTGTCAGCCCACGCTGCGTGTGCTGTTACAGCTGAAATTACTGTCAGGCACCAATCTTTCCAAATACAGAGCGAGTGTCTTAAGCACGAAGCAGCACGGAGTCGACAGATGACCGCTTACTAAAGCACACCAGAGGAGCTCATGACCAGCAGGTCACCACTGCTGAAGAGAGAGTGACGAACTTTGTTTCTTTTAGTCCAACTAGTAATAGGTGTCATAGGTAGAATTTAACTTTTTTCACGTGCGTTCCAGTCATGTTGGTGAACTTTACTAGCATCCAGTTGCTGATTAAAAAGAGAAGGAAAAGCGCCTTAGTGGTGTAGAGAAAACTCTTCAGCATTTGTAACAAGTGCTGTCCCTTCCTTTGTATCGCAGGGAGACTACTGAAAGGGTCTACAAAAACTACATTGAGCTATGCGTCCTTTGGTGTTATCAGGCTACCTACGTTCTTTCGTTTTTTTCCACACTGAAATGCCTTCATATAAATAACTGGGGGTATGATGCCTCTTAAGAGTTTATAAAGAGGCTTGCTCCTAGAATAATTTTTCCTTTACGTTTGAAAAATGTCATTGAGGGAGACAAAGTATTTTTGACTTCCTGGTTCCCTTCCCATGTTGAAGAGCTGTGGAATTGCAAACTACTGTGTTTTGTCGCTAAGTGTGAAAATTCATAGGGATGTTAAGTCTGGCAGCTGCTTCCTTGTATTTTTGCCTTACCTTACATTTGCACCCCTAGTGCCCCTTCTGTCAAAGGCTTACCCATCATCAGGGAGTGACTTCTTGTGGTGGACACTGCCAGCATCTCACAAGTGGTGGGATAACGGGGAGAGAGAGATTCAGTGACTGATCTGCAGTCTCTGAGTTAAGAGTAGAGCCCCCGCCTTTAGAACCGGCTCCCTCCCACGGGCACAAGGATCTTGCACAAAAACTAAGAGCTTCTGCCAACTCTGCAAAGTCTATCGTAGGTTATACGGGCTTTTTATTTTTTTGAGTATGTAGCTTGTGTGCGCTTTTATGAAGGTATTTTCCTGGTTTCAGTGTGCCTTGCACCCTCCCTTACTTCGTGGATGTACCGGTGAAGTATTTTCCAGAGCCAAAATGAGGGGGGCTCTGCTCACCCATCTTTTCCTTTTTCCTCTTGCAGGCGTTATTTAAACAAAACCTCCGATGAGGAGTTGACCACAGAGAAGCCCTCTCCTCCGCCTGAGGGAGCATCCGCCGATCCCGTCACCCTGCGTCGCAGGACACTCGCTGCCGCCGCCGAACGGAGACTTCAGATGCAGCAAAACTCTTAGCGCTCGTTGCCCCTCCTTCCTCCTCCTCGTGAGCAATGTTGAATAAATCAATTAAATACAAAAACACCCCCTGCGCTTTCTATACCAGCAAGAAAGTGTCTCTTCAGAGTTCAGCTAGCTATGCTGCCGAGTGAGCTGGCTGCCTCTCTGCTGTATAAAGCATGTGGTCTAATAATGTTTGGACAGCTGACAAATTAACCTTTTTTGTAATATTTTCTATGTGATGTTGATCCCCTCCACAAACAAAAGGCAATTTCTAAACCACGGGCATGATTTCTGCAGCGAGCACGAGGTATTAGGCTGACTGCACAGCAGAGGCTGGGGAAAGCGTGTTCCGAATTAGCAGCTGTGGGTGCAGGTCGCGGAGGGCACTGGCATGTTCAGCTCGAGATCAGGGAGAGTTATTCCAAGAGGGAAGAAAGCTTAGAAATTTGCAGCAAACCCTGCGTTAGATGAGCAGGCGCCCACTCTTCAGTCCCTGTTCGTATCGAGAGCAAAGGGTGTTACGTAGGCCGGCTGGAGGGGCTGGGGTAGCATCGCTGGAAAGTCAGTTCTTAGGCTGCATGGAAGTTGTCTAGCTACATAGCGCAGAAAAAACCGAATTCATGAATTGTGCAGCGAAGTGCCGATTCACATCGATTCCAGCATAAAGTAGTTTGTTTGCCTTTCCTGGGCTCTTCTGCGCCGGCAGACGTCTGGCTCTGTTCGCTCCCTGGGGCTGCATTATTTTCCTTTGCCTTTTATGGCCAGAAACAAGTGAGAGACTGAGGGGAATCGAGCGAAGAAGAGGGGGCGTAAGGCGAGGTTACAGCCCCTGCAATTCAGTGTTACCATAAGCCAAGGGAGTATGATAGAAAGACCTGCCTGTTCTGGACTCCAGAGCAACACGGATGGGACTTCGTGGAGATAGCTCCAGTATCTTGCTTTTTATTTCATTTTTTAACCCCAAAACTTCACCGTGAGTTTATTCAGAAAGACTGGAGGAACTGGGGCAGCCGGACCTTAGGCTGGCTGCAGCCCAACCTGCTAACCTCTGATTTTTCTAAAGAACTTTTGACACGAGATCCACTTGGAGCCGCGGATGATGCTAGCTTGCATAGTTGAATTTTACATGACAGTGACTTAATTTTTAAACTTCTGAAGAGTGAGTTCTGGTATCACTGTCATTTAGAAGGAGCCCAGTATTATCTAGAGATGTTGGTAACTTTTTTTTACTGTTGGTTTTTAGGACATTTGAAGGTGAATTTAATGAGAGGAGTTGCATCGATGTTTAGATGAAAGTAATTTATTTCAATAAAACTCTTTGGGAAGCCTTACCTTGCAATGCTATTAGTGAACTTCTAAGAACTTTTTTGACATCTTTGGTTTTGCTCTGAGCACAGCTGGTTTGTTTCTATTGTTTAAAAAAAAAAACAAAAACCCACACACAACAAAAATAAAATCTTGGTCAGTGTTGGAAATTGGGAATTTCTGTAGTGTGGCTTCTCATGTTCCTGGCGTGCGTTCGGTTTGTAAATGCAGCACCCGCACTTTGGTCCCCTTCGCTTCCCCCTTTGTGTCGCGATGGAGGGAGCGCAGCCGCCTAACACCGGCTTGAGGAACGTTTTCCCAAGCCTCGGGTTGCAGAGCAGTAATTGCTACTGGAATTCAGTCGTGCCGTGAACATGGAAATGGAAGAGAAATAGTGTCTTGAGGGACTGTAAAAACAAAGCGGGGTTTTGAACTGTCTGGCAGCATGCTGAAGGGGTGAGAGCTATTGTACGTGTCAACAGGACATAAAGTTTGGGTCTTTATTCAAGCAGCAGAGTCGACGTACCTCTGGGAGCAGACGGAAGAGGAGAAAACAGCACAGAAATCCTTCTCCGGGGGCGTCTGGGTTTCCTTGAGTTCCTCCCCCTTGCTGCGTTTCTGGGAGATTTTGTACACAATGATGCATTTTGTACATGATGATGCAAAATGACCCCAGCTTCATCTCAGCAGAGGGGATGCCTGCAGCCAGGACAGGTTTTGACCTAGCTTTGGGCTTGACCTAGCTTTGGGCATGCAAGATCTCCACCACCTGGGCATGTCCTCTCCCAGCCTGCCCACCTTCCCGGGGAGGGAGAGCTGTGCCCTGGAGAGGTTTCCTTCCCCCTCCTCAAACACGGAAGGTGAAGAGCCCCTGGTTCCCCGGGGATTAGCTGGGCAGCCGTGCTGCACAAACCACCTCCGCCTACTTCTGGTGCTCTGTGAGCTGTGCGGCATCTTGGCCACCCCAAATCTCACCACTAAAAATAAAATTAATAAAAAAAAATCAATCCCTGATTTCTTACATTTGTGCTGGCTTGGAAAGGTACCGGTAAAGCTCTTCTCGGCCAGCAACCCTCTCTCTCCATGCTGAGGGACCCTGTTGTGCAGCCCAGTCCTTCGCCCAGCAGCCGGTCAGCGGGGAAGGAGAAGATGCCGTGAGCCCGTCCTGGATAAACCCCTCCTGCCCAAGGTCCTGCAAGAGAGATGAGTGAAGGGGCTGCCCGGCTTGTGTGGGTGGAGGGAGGCTCCTGGAACTAAACCAAGGAGGGGGTGGGGATGTTTCAGAGACTCTTGGGCTATTCTTTCCGGACTTCTCTCCTCCTCTTGTTGGATTCCTGACCTTCTCCCAGGAGCTCTTTGCTCCCTCGTGAGCGGGCCCTGGCCAGGCGCTGGATGGCATCCTTGCCTGCGGCACGGTTGCAAAACGCCCTACTTCAGCGATGAAAGGCTGGTTTGTGCAGAGGAGCCCATGGACCAGCGCCAGCCTCTCGGCTGGCTCCGCTTCCCCGGCAAGGGAGGTCATCCGAGGAGACTTCCCCAGTGCCAAGACGAGCTCCTTCTGGATCGCTGTAAACAGCAGGAACGTGAAGAGACCGCGTTGGTCAGGAGGTGCTGCCGCGTGAAGGAGCAGCTTTTCTAACCAGCCTTCTGGTGTGCGTGACGTTCGATGGGTGGCCCGGCGTAAAGCCAAGGTGGGGGGTCCTGGCTGGTTGGGTAACCTTCCCTACGGCTCCTTCACCAGCTTTGCTGATGAGCCACGGGGTTTGGAAGCTCTCCTGTGGCTCGGG